CGCGTACTAAAGTTGTACTACAAAGTCGCCAGTTCTCAGCTTCCAGCTCGCCAGATACTCCGCGTACTAAAGTTGTACTACAAAGTCGCCAGAGCTCATCTTCCAGCTCCCCAGATACTCCGCGTACTAAAGTTGTACTACTACAAAGTCGCCAGTTCTCAGCTCCCAGCTCCCCAGATTGCTCCGCGTACCAAAGTTGTACTACAACGTCGCCAGTTCTCAGCTTCCAGCTCCACAGATTGCTCTGTCCATGTAGTAAAGTTGCACTACAAAGTCGCCAGTTCTCATCTTCCAGCTCCGCAGATACTCCGGGTACTAAAGTTGCACTGCAAAGTCGCCAGTTCTCAGCTTCCAGCTCCACAGATGCTGTGCCTGCCACGAAATCTGCACATGGAGGTTTACAAAGCGCTGTGCCTGCCACGAAATCTGCACATGGAGGGTCACAAAGTGCTGTGCCTGCCACGAAATCTGCACATGGAGGTTCACAAAGCGCTGCGCCTGCCACGAAATCTTCACATGGAGGTTCACAAAGGGCTGTGCCTGCCACGAAATCTGCACCTCGAGGTTCACACAGCGCTGTGCCTGCCACGAAATCTGCACATGGAGGTTCACACAGCGCTGCGCCTGCCACGAAATCTGCACATGGAGGTTCACACAGCGCGGCGCCTGCCACGAAATCTGCACATCCAGCGCCGGTGCCCAGCCGACGCCAGGGCGTACATCCGACCCCTTGGCAAGCAGCAAAGTGCTGTGCCTGCCACGAGATCTGCACACGGAGGTTCACAAAGTACTGCGCCTGCCACGAAATCTGCACATGAAGGTTCACAAAGTGCTGCGCCTGCCACGAAATCTGCACATAGAGGTTCACACAACGCTGCGCCTGCCCCGAAATCTGCACATGGAGGTTCACACAGTGCTGTGCCTGCCACGAAATCTGCACATGGAGGTTCACAAAGTGCTGCGCCTGCCACGAGATCTGCACACGGAAGCAGCAAGCGCCGCACACAGCACGCAAATGCTACCGGTCTGCAGAGCGCCGCTTCCCAGCCGACGCCAGGGCGTACATCCGACCCCTTGGCAAGCAGCAAGCGCCGCGCACAGCACGCAAATGCTACCGGCAGAGTGCCGGTGCCCAGCCGACGCCAGGAGGCACATCCGACCCCTTGGCAAGCTGCGCATGGAGGTTCACAAAGTGCTGTGCCTGCCACGAAATCTGCACACGGAGGTTCACAAAGTACTGCGCCTGCCACGAAATCTGCACATGAAGGTTCACGAAGCGCTGCGCCTGCCACGAAATCTGCACATCAAGCGCCGGTGCCCAGCCGACGCCAGGGCGTACATCCGACCCCTCGACAAGCAGCAAGCGCCGCGCACAGTGCACATGGAGGTTCACAAAGTGCTGTGCCTGCCACGAAATCTGCACACGGAGGTTCACAAAGTACTGCGCCTGCCACGAAATCTGC